AGGAGACACGGCGGCCCGGGCGTCCGGGCGCGTGCGGGGGACGTACCTGCGGCCGCCTCACGCTCGGGGCCCAGCGGCCCAGGGTAACGGCGCCTCCGCCGCGGACGCTCCTCGGCTCTCCATTCGGGGCTGTTTACTCGCAAGTCTCGCGAGGCCACCGGCTGGAAGCGTCGTCCGACGGCGGGCGTGCCCTGCGTGCTCCGCGCGCCCGGGGCCTGCGTGCGCGCTCCGGACACAGGTCCGCGGGCCCGGGCCGGAGGGTGGGCCGAAGTCTCGCGACATTTGCGGGCAAGGGGCGGAGCCAACTCGCAGGGAGCCGCTGGAGCGGGAGGGCGTGGAGCAGCCTAGGAAGCCCCCGCCCCACAGCGACCGCGGCCGAGCTGGGGAAAAGCTCTCTCCTTCCCCAGCTCCTGCAGGTGTCCACATCCAGGCAACCCCACTGTCCTTCCTCCCCAGCTAGGGGCGCCCATCTCCATCGCCTGTTGGCACCTCGGGGCACCTACTTCGGACACGCGTGTGGAAGCCGAGACGTGGAGAGGTGGTTGAAGTGCCCCCGACTTCTGCGCAGACGTACAGACCCCTCAGTGCCACGGGCGCAGCCTCCTCTACCCTTGGCAGCCTGGGCTTGACGGCGGCCCAGCACGCACCTGGTGAGAGACCGGGAGGCCCTTTGCAACGCCAAGGTTTACCTTTCCTTTCTCTAAGAAACCAGGATCTGAAAAGATTACCTGGGTAATGTAGACAACAGGAAGACAGGTCGTTTTCCATCTAAAAGTTGAGCCTGAGGGAACTGCAGCATGTGACAATGCTAATGGGTCAGGATGTGCTATAAGGTGAGAAAAAACTATAGCACATCTTTTTTTTGAACCTTTCACTGCACCATAGGAATGCTGAATGGCACCAATATGACAAGCAGTTCATCTTCCCTTTAGCATGCTTTAATCACACTGACTTATAATGTAATGGATACATACAGAATCACAAAACACTATATCCCTCCTCGGGCATCTGCTTTGTAATTTTGAGGGTGTTTAACTTCTTTGTACCTCAGCTTCCTCATCCAAAAAGCAAGGATACTGAGACCTACCTTAAAAGATGAGGACTGAGCAAAACACACAGGAAGTGCTTGGCTTATGTATAATTTAATAAATGGTGAACTCAAGTTCTTTTGAGAGTCAGCTTATTCCATTTTATGAAGTTTCTGAGAATTCCTGATTCTTTTTTCATTTGCAAATCTCCAAAGCACGTAATGCATTTGATCTTAACCTTAACGATGTCATTCTGTTGTAACTTGGGGTAAATTCATCTTGACCTGGGTTCTTTTCAACAGCCCTGTAGTCACTATGCCATTGAATACAGGCCAGCTGTTCAGAACAGGGCACTAGTGAGATGCAAACATCCTTGTCATATGTGACAGAGAAGCCCAAAAGCAGGGCAAGATGACAATGCTCCAGTTCCTGAGAAAGCCTGTAAGGTTAAGAGAGCTGGGGCACAGGGCAGAGAAGTGTCACTTAGAGATAACGAAAAACTGAGACCTAAAGGATCTGGTCTACCACCAGTGGCTTTCCACCACTGCAGAGTCTAAGATAACTTTTCAAATCTTGCTTCATGTAAAAACAAAGCATTCTCAATTCCAGGGGAAGATAGATCTTTATTCAAACTCAATGTTATCTTTGAGTTAAAGAGTTAATGGTGCAGGCATCAGGTGAACCAGGAAAGCCAGTGTTCCCAAGCTGCATCTCTCAGGCCCTGGCAACTGCTCCACTCTGCTCTACTCCACCAGCACAAAAGATCCACAGGGTCCTAGTGGATCTGGGCAGAATGTGCAGACCTTTGTTTGGCAAGGACAGCTTTGACCATGAGCTTCAAAATCTCAACATAGACACCAACTTAGACATCAAAGGCAAGAGTGTGCCTAAGTGTTGCCCAGACGGCACCAGAGGATGCCCATGGAGACATCCTCCTTTGCACCTTTGCCCACCAGCAGGTTGTAGGCTTCCAGGACAATTTCATGTTCATGGTGCTGAAGCTGTGCCACCAGAGGTCTCCCCAGAGCTGCCCTAGAGGAGGAAAGCACCCATGCACCCCCAAGTTTGTGGCAGGTTGTCCTTAGTACCGGACCATGCACCAAATCTGAGCTACTCACAAAAACCTCAAGCTTGGCAAACTTCCTAAACAGCGACATGGAAGGGAAAACCAGATTTGGGCTGGCAAGCAAGGTCAAACAGGAACAGAGACAGGCTACGTGGGACTCTTCAATTACCTCGCTCCTGAGGTGCTGAGTCAGCAAGGGCAGTTTTGAGACTGTTGTGAAGTGTACAGGGTACAAGATATAGCCCTTGTAAGTGGTGGCTTCTGAGGCCCCTTGCCTTAAAGGGCCCACCTCCCACAACAACCCCATGACGTCCTCACATCCAGAACATGCTTCCTATGAATCCCTGGGGGCGAACCACAAGCAAGCTGTTCAAGGACAAGTGCTTTACTCCTGGATTCCACCTCCTGTCACGGGCCTCACCACTCCCCTGAGGTTTTCAGTTGCTCTTAAGCTCCTCAATAAAGGGTTGGAAACCTCCCTTCTCTGAGCATCTCAGGAAATCTGAGCATCTCAGGAAAAAAAGGAACCCGCGGCTCTGGAGACAAACGAGGTGCCGCCAGACCCGCAGAGCAAGGGCAGGCGAGGCAGAGCTGCAACTCCCGCCTGCATCCAGTCCTCTGGCCAGCTAGTGTGTGGACTCCTGGGGTCAGTATGGCCTGGGGTCAGCTGTGAGCAGCAGCATGGCCTTACCTCTACTGCAGCAGTGGTGTCTGCAGGACAGAGCCTGACAGCACCGTGTCCTGCCTGGCTGGATCCCACCCGGACTCCCTGATGATGGCCTCCTTAAGAATTCCCACAACACACCAGGCCATGAGGCAGCTTCACCGCCCTGTCTAAACTGGCCCCACACCTGCAGTAGCCCCATCCCACCCCTAAACAAGGGCACTCCCTCCAGGACTGTGCCAAACTGACCCTGTCTCCAGATGCTGCTGGGGCCTACACTAAGCAGCAGGACTTGGGAAGCACCTCCTGAGCCCCCCCCCCAGGAGCTGCCCATGCCATGTCTGGTCTCGCGGCAGAGCTCAGCCTCCAGCTGGTGCCCTTTGGCTTCCCAGCCCCTGGGCCTGCACCAGTTAGCTCCCACGGGCTATTTCTGAAATATGCTCCCAGCCCTGAGACCCCCTGGCAGGTGGGGTACTCTGTTACTTTTGTACATGTTGGGGTACAGGTTCCAAAGCCTCTTCTGGGTCCCTCAGCCACCACAGCATGCTACAGAATAGCTCTACTGAATCTGGAACGTCCTTCCCTTGCTTTATACACACTAAACACATGAATCTTCAAAATGGAGAACAATAGCCAAGCCACAGATGCTCCCGGTCTCACAGTGGGGTTTCAGCCCAATAAGCTACTCTAAGGTGAATACCGCCTCAGCTGAAAACGCACAGGGCTAGGCCTGGCCGCCTCGAGAGTGCTCCCAACACTCAGGCACAGCTGCCCTCCTCGTCCCAGGCTAGACTCAACCAGCCTTGGACTGAAAATAGTTGGGAAAAGAGCCTGTTCTGAACTTGTAGAAACGTTTCTTTTCATTCTTCCCTGAGCAACAAAGCTTTTACATGTGACATTTATACAGTTTTAGGTAATATAAGTGACCCAGAGATCACTGAAAGTATACAGAAGGATAGGCATCAACTGTATGCAGTACTGTAGCATTTTATGAGGGGTGTGAGCTTCCCAGGTTTGGGCACCACACAGATCCAAAGGACAACTTGAAGAATGGTGACCATGTGTTCACAGGGCTGGCTGGGAGCTACAACTCTCTGCCACCACCCAGCATTGCGAGAGGACTGAAGTGTGTATCACCTGCCTGGGAGAGTAGTCAAAATACAGTTCATATCATCGCATTTAGCAATCACACCATCGTAAAGTCAAAAAGTCGTACACTGAACCGTTCTAAGTTGTTAGGTTGGGGCCTGTACTGAGAGGAATGGACAGTCTGGAGATGGTTCTGGGACACAGAGTGTCAAGACTGAGGACATATCCCTAACCCTCTGCATCCCAAACGTAACAGAACTTTATGTCTTCAACATAGGAAAAACAAAAAAGGCCCCTCAGGATTGTCTCTGTGGCTCCCTTCCCTCTCCTCCCCACTCTCTGGAACCCACCATAGTCTGGCCTTCAGCCTCCTTCAGCCCCACCACTCGCCTGAAACAGCTCACTCAAATCGCCCACCGTCTGCACACTGCAAGCGCCGTGGCTGAGCCCAGCTTCATCCTCCTCAACCCTCCGGAGACGAGATGGAAAAATAGCTTGGTGGCTTCAGAAGCTTCCTCGACAGTCACACATACTGAACCTTCAGCTTTTAATGAGTTATGACCACAGGTGTTCACAGGTTAATTTTTGGTAATCATTTCTATGAGGAAAAAGAGAAACCCTCCTTCCAACCAACCAGCTTAGAAATACTTGGAGCAAAGCCTCTTGCAGAGGAGACAGAGCAACTGCTTTTATTGTTACATTTCCAGTTCACAGACCAAGTTTCAAGGTTCAGATTCCCCACATTCTTAATAAGAGACCCTATCCATAGTGACCAACCAACTCTCAAGTGAGCTTTGGGGGGTGGTGTTTTATGAAAGCTAGAAAACCAAAGGAAATTCAGTCTTGCTCCTCCCCTGAAGCTGGGGACCAGTCTGCACCACCTCTGTACCAGTCAGCATGTCTGGCTACATCCTGCCAGGGGCAGAATTCAGAATACCACGGGCCAGGCGTGTTTACCAGTGCCGCCCCACCCACCTGATCCCTAACCCCAAGACTGCACCGGGACCTGGCTTACACAGAATCACACAGCAGCGTGGCTACAGAAAGCTGCCGCTGCTGCAATCACACATCGCGCAGATTCCATCAGTGTGGTGTGAAGTCAGAGGATCCAGCTGCGCTGTGCCTCCAGTGCAAAGGTCTCCGCTCCTGTGTTTCGAAGACATGATTTAGGAGCGGAAGAGCTTTGGAACTTAGCCACTCATCTTCTGAATCCACGTCACATCTGGAAATGTTGCAAGGAAGGTCACAGGCAAAAACGTGTGTTCCACACTCAGGTGTGCTTAGGCACACTGTGGAAGACGGCCTCACAGCAGGACGATCCCACACCAGTCCTGGCCTCAACCAAATGACCAGCTTCTTCAGTGTCATGATATTAAGCTCTGAATTTTAAATCCGCCCATGTTACCATATTCATATAGAAACTTACATAAATTCTGAGTGCTAGGTATGTGGCCCACAAAAAATGGTTGGCTTTATAGGATCTGAATTAAAGATATTTCACTGTAGGTGTCAATGCTAATCCATATTGTGGGGTTTGTGCATAATTATCATTACATCAATAAAAGTACTCACAATAATGCATAATTCATTACATGGACCAAAAAATGAGCTTCTAACATTATTGCAACAGATACATCATATCACACACATAATCTGTCCATATTTTAAGTACTATTCCATAAATACTTGATGTTTATATCAATACTACTACCGGAATGGAATCATTTTACATAGAAAAGTGTATGAAAACCAGCTATAACAAGATCAAAAGGGCTAAGTTTCAGTTATAAAATGGATCATAGGTTCAGAAATCACTACTTGACCACAATTACAAATCAAAAGATAGTGACTAACGGTTACTCATTAGATCTCCAAGTCTAGGAACACACTCACCCCAGACCTGGGAAACACAAACAACATGGAGGAAGCAGCAGCAGACAGGCAAACCCACAGCACAAACCTGGCAGGCTTGTCTGGTCTGGAAAGGAAGAGCCTGGGTCTGTATCACCCCGTGAAGCTTCCCGTTACCCACCCTGACAAGGCTCTTTTGTAACTTAACCCTGTGTAGAGCTGCTCACACACAGCACAGCACACAGGTTCTGCATCTCTGTCCTCCGGCAGCCCAACCAGATTCCTAAGCTAACACCAGAGATCTCAGTTACAAAATAACACTTTTCAATAGTCTTCCTAGTGAACATTTCAAAACTAACACTGCTGTCATCCGTAAAGGGAAAATAGGCCATTTCCCTTAAAACACGACATCTGAAACTGAAGCGCTGACAAGTCTGTTATAAGTGTTTGCTGCCGTAGCTCTGATGTCAACACCCCTCTTGAACAGCTTGGAACAAAGCAATCACATCTAGGCGTCTTCACCAGTTCCCACACTCAGGAGTTAGTTGTTCCACGCCATCCACTGGCCCTGGAGGTTTATCACAGCTCTCCAAGACTTTGCCTTACAAACGATGAATTAACAGCACACTGATCATCAGTCAAAAAGAAAATACATCAGATAAATTAAATGTGTTTCCAAATGTCGGAATACTGCCGGTTACCATGACTTGGCAAAACTTGACTGACGGTCGGGACTCAGGCTGTGCAGGCTAAGGCCTCCTTGCGTAAGGAGCGGTTGAGAATATTTGCTCCCCATACCCAGAGCCACTCAGGCATATACTGTGCAAAAAGAAACTAAAAACAAAAAGAGAAAGGGTTATAAGGTTAGAGCCTCAAACCATCAACACTGAAGGAATCAGAGCAGAGATCAGCACAATTTAACCCAATGAACACCTTCCAACCACTTCAAACTCAACAAAGGAGAAAGCCCCTGGGCCCTTACGTACTGAACACCTCTCTCTCCATAAGGTATCACCCTAAACTCTAGACACACTCATTGTTTCAAGGAAAACCCCAAGTACACCCTCCAGCTTCACCTGCTCTTAAGTGACTTAGAACTGTTAATCTTCATGGCCACGTGACCGGGAAAAGCACTGAGGGTCTCCTGCTGGCCTCGCTGTGGATCACGGCTGACGTGGGGGCTCTGAGGAACAGTGGCCTAGGTTACTCCTGAGGGACCTGAGGCTGCTTCTGTAGAAGACACGGACTCCTCTCTCGAGCCTGCAGGTGGCCCCCGGTGGCTGGCCTGGGATGAAGAGGCATGGCATCTCTGCCTTCACTTTGCATCTGTCCCCTTGATCACCGTAACCTTTGGGTCAGATTCTACTCGGCTCTGCGTGTGGTCACCAGGTGTCATCCAGAACTGTCATCCGGGACTAGCGTGACCTGGACTTGCCCAGTCTCCCTGCACCCACCCACCACTACAGACACACCAGAGCAGGGAAGGATAGACAAAAGGCGGCACAGCACTCCTGGAAGGCTGCGCCATTCCTAGGAAAGACATGACCCTCCTCCCCCTGGCAGCCCGACCCTGTCCCTGTCATTCCTCTCCTGCATCCTGGCCTCCCGCCCTGGAGAGGGGAAGCTGGCGGTGAGCTGTCCTCCCTCTCCATCATCCTTTGGCCACTTTCTTTCTCCCCAAGGCTTATCTCTGGGACATGAGTTTTCCTGTGGGAAGAACCACCAGCAGCAGCACCACCTGTTCTACAATGAAGCATCTTCACTTAATGTGGCATAAACGGATGTTCAGGGTGAAGAATCACCAAGCCCTAGAGCAGTAGGTCAGCTGGAACAAACAGAGGCATTCATGGCCAACTGAGAAAACCAAGTTTCGGGGGGCAGGCTGAAGCAAATCTAAACAAGAGAACTGAGAAACACCAGGACTTTGGAAGGGTTTCTAGGGAGGGAGTCCCGCTGCTACCATTCTGTTCCAGAAGTCTCAACCCAGAGGAGAGACGGCAACGTCTGGAAACATGGCTGCGACATTGGCAGTGGATGCCACTGGCCTCTCATGGAGGCCAGGGATGGCCCCCAGCCCCCAAACCAGGAAATACTTACTCAAACGCTGCTGAGACAGAAGAACCCTACATGACAGGTGTGTTCAAGACCACAAGAAAGTTCTAATGGCTTAGCTATTAAGGAAAAGGGATGGATAGGCCCTTGGTAGATACCATTGTCCCAGCCCAGAAAGAACTGAAGTGGGGACTAAGGTCCCTGACCCTCTTCTCAATCAATGGCCTGCATCTCCAGGGTGGGCCACACCAGCAACCACCAGTGTGGCCTGTGCAACCATCAGTGGGGGAGGAATCAGCATCTAAAAATCGGCTTTTTTATTCCCACCCTGGCCCTTGCCCACTTCAGGGGAACAGCATCAAGGTATGTTCTGCCTGTTCCAAGGAGACTCCACTGGCACAGAGTAAAGACCCAGGACCAACAAATTACCCTTTGTTCATCTGGGTCTTTAATTTTCCATCTGCAACAACACAGACATTCTTCATGTTGCTTGGAGAGCCTGATATTTGAGGGTGCAGAGACAGCAGGTGGGAGAGTTTCTGGGCCACGGGGAGCCCTCTTCCCAAAATGAAACCTAAATGGCATGGGCCTCCAACAAGCATGGGCCTTAGGATTAAAAAAAAAACTATTTTGGCCTCCCCTTCCTTCCTTCCCTTCCATTCTGTCTTATTTCTCTCTCTGGGCCATGTCTAAGAGGTATGAACACCTGGCAGCAGGGTGGGGAGCCGGGGAAAGGAGAACACTTGATCCCTGGGTAGTGACAGACTACAGAGCCCACTCACTGATCCCTCAGCTGACGAGTTACAGGGAAGCCCTGCCACGGTCTCTACCCTGGGGTCTGCGGGAAAGACCACCCAAACTGAGCCAAGGGAACTGGAGGTGGTTGGGGGGGCCTCACATTCTGGGGTCCTGACCAGTCTGTCTGGCGCTCCTGGGCAACCATACCAACGCGACTCCTGAAGCAAGCGGAGCAGCCCCTGAAGCCACATGCTCAGGAGTCTCGGGGACTCTACGAGGAGGAAGAGGTCAGTAGAAACTTACACACAGGACTAGCTGGAAACCTTCACGAGCAATGAAACTGCAGACACCTCACCCAGAGCCCGAGCAGGTGAGGCTTCGGGAAGCATGGAAAAGAGTCTAAGCCACGCGAGCCCGGGCCCGCCCCTCGGCCTGCTGGAGCTACCTCAGAGGCAGAAGCAGAGCTTCCCCAGAGCTGCACCGAGTCCCCACCTGGCTTCCCACACCCCTCTGCTGGACACCCTGCGACTCTCACCAAACTCCTCTCTCAGGGCATGGGGCCCACTCCCACAGCTGTCACTGCAGCCGAGTCTCCTGACAGATCTCTCACCTGAGCTTCCCTCTGTCAGCAGCCGCCTCCACTTCTCTGAAACACTCCCCAGGACCTTTGAAACCAGCATGCACGCGGCTCCCACCAGTCCCTGCCCCTGATCTCTCCACTGTCCCTCCACTCCTCACACCTGACCACCCCCAGTGCCACCTATCTGGGCCATGGCATCCTAGCTTTTTAAAGCACAGGCCTTCAGCCCTTCCTGCTCCATCCACTCCAGCCTGAGGAGTGGCTGCAAATGCACACGGGCAACCAGCCGAGCACCCACAGCCACTACGGACCTCCCCCCACCACCAGCAAACACAGAAGGTCATGCTTATTTAATTCCCTATGTACATGACACACTGAAGTAAACGGCACAAAATAAAACGTCATACCGCAGGTTGGCATATTCAAGTTCTCACAGACTAAAGAGCGACAGGACTGAAATCACGATAAAATCTAGATCTTTGTGACTTGGGTGAACTACATTCAAAAAACAATAACAATAGAAAAAAAAATCAGCAGCAAAAGCTACCAGTAAAATATGTTTGGGACAAAACAGTAACAAATCAAATCTCTATTGTAAAACTAAAAAAAAAAAAAAAGTGATAATGTTGAAAATAATTTAAGTAAATAAAATCAAAAAAGGAAAAGTGGAAGAGAACATTAAGCAGCTCTGTATGGGAAAGTACTCTAGGGATAAATCAGCTTCACAGAATGTCTTGACAGAAAACACACATTGTTGAGAGAAGTTCATCACGGGAACATAGTTGTGATTAAAACACTGGTGCTTCAACTCTGAAGGCACCAATAAAAAATGTGGAGAAAAATAAAACCATGGTGTTTCACACGGACAGTGCCTGAACCCACCTCAGGCCGTCTTCACTTCTGAGAGAACTTCAAGGTCAGTGGCTCCTAAACTACTGTTTAGGTTTCTCCCTCTTCTCAGGTAATTAGGGACTTGGAACTAGCCACTTAGGTAAACTGCTTCCTTTGTGTGTGTGGTCCTAAGGACTGAACTTAACCAGGGGCGCCAACCTCAGAGCCATACCCTTAGCACTGTTTTTTCTGTTTTCTTTGTTAGACAGACAGGGCCTCGATAAGTTGCCATCCTCCTGCCTCAGCCCTCATAACCGCTGGGATCACAGCTGTGCCTCACCCCAAATGGTGACAAATGGCTTTTTTAAAACCAGAAATCTTTTGATGGTTGAATGTGATGATCATTATTATCCAAAGTACATGTATGAAGACATGAATTGATGTGAGTATACTATGTCTATGTGAGTACACAACCAGAGATATGAAAGATTGAGCTCTACACATGTAATATTAAAAACAAAAAGAATTACGATGCATTCCGCTGTTATATATAAATTAAAAAATGGAATTAAATAAATAAGAAACCTTTAGTCACATCTTTTGAGAAAAGTGAAAATTAACTATTAATTTAGTATGAGATTATTTTGGAGTGGTAAGTCTAATACACAATGAGTCTGTAGTACTCAGTCTAATAATCTTTTGCAAACAGTCCCCAAAATATTTGTGTTATCATTAAGAAAATGCCAAGTATTTCCTTTTTGATACTGGGGATTGAATCCAGGGGTGCTTTTACCTCTGAGCTACATCCCCAGTGCTTTCTATTTTTTATGTTGAAACAGGGGCTACATAAATTGCTGAGGGTCTCAAAAAGTTGTTGAGGCTGGCCTCAAACTTGTGATCCTCCTGCCTCAACTTCCTGAGTGGCTCAAATTACAGATATACACCACCACACCCAGCTCACACCTATTTTCTATGCCAAATAATGAAACACAAATTTATCATTATAAATTTCCCTTATATCACAATTTCATATATTTAACAAAATTAAAATATTCCTAAAAGACCCAAATCTTTGTCATGTTTGAGTAACAAACTTTTTAAAAAATTCTATGCTTGAACAAATGAGTTTAAGAATATACCAAGACACTATTTGCCATATGGTTGTATAAAATATAGACCTAACTGGTAGTTTTGCTCTGGATTAACTGTTCACTTAGAGGTACCCCCTTTTAAGCATTACTAGAATTTTTTTTTTCAATACTAGGTAACAAACCCAGAGCCTCATGCACACTAGGCAAGCTCTCTACCACTAAGCTTCATCACCAGCTTTTTTTTGTGACAGGGTCTTGCTACATTACCCAGGCTGGCACTAACTTGTGATCCTCCTGCCTCAATTTCCCAAGTAGCTGGGATTAGAAGCATGCCCCCAAGTTGCTGCCAGCATCACTAGAATCTTTTTTTTTTTTTTTTTTGATACTGGGGATTGATCCTAGTGGCACATAACCACTGAACCACATCCCCAACCCTTTTTATATATTATGTTGAGACAGGGCCTTGGCAAGTTGCTCAGGATCTCGCTAAGTTCCTGAGGCTAGCTTTGAACTCACGATCCTCCTGCCTCAGCCTCTCAAGCTGCTGGGATTACAGGAGTGCACCCCTTGCCCAGCTAGAGTCTTTACTCTGAATTCCCATGTAAATAATTAGCATTTGTATATTTCTACCAACCAGTTAACTTAAAAAGCAGCATGTTTCAGGTGTCACCCCATTAAAGTTTTGAAAATTCTTAATAATCCCACTGAAGAAAATGTAATGTCTTAAACAAAATCATTTAAGATGTGAAGTTTAAGAATCAGAATTTCCAGTCTCCTCTTTCTGCATGAGGCTTCAGACTCACTCAGTTCTAAGAACTGAAAGTACACTGCTACCTGAATAGAGTGGGACCAGTATCCTGTGGTCCTTTTGGAAATCCCCAGGGTAGAGACAGCATGATGTGCATATACTTTTGGTGAAGGCACCAGCCAGGGGCATCTGTGCAGAAAGCTGCTAGGTCCAGCCATGTTGGTGGCCACGTAGAAGGGGAGGAGGCTCTGCACGAAGATCCCTTTAGAGGCGTACTCGTACTGCAGCGCTCGGCTGAGATGGTCTAAGTAGGCCTGTCAAGAGTGAGGAGAAGACTTTTAATTTAGGGGTGGGAGGAACTTGAAAGAAAATTCAGGACAAAAAAAAAGAGACTTCTCAAACATGAGCTGCTGACAGCCAGCCCCTCCAGGCAGACCTGACGTTTATCAGCAGTCAGGATTCCACTCCCAACAAGCCTGACCTTTGAAGCAGAGAAGGCAGCCAGCTGTGGAGTGGGTTTGCAGCAGGAGCCAGAGGAGATGGTGACGATGGCACCCTTCTTTCTCTCCACCATTCCTGGTAACACTATGTGGATCATCAAACTAGCAGCGGCGATGTTCACATTTATGATGTCCCAGAGCTTGTCCTCGGAGACCTGAGTGAAATACTGGGGGTAGGGGTAAAACACGCCCACATTGTTTACCAAGATGCCAACGTCTTTGTCCTTCAGGGCTTCTGCAATGGGAACATAGATCTCACGGCCCCTGCTGAAGTCCACAACTATGATATCCGTTTCCACTTGGTAGGTGTCGGCTATGTCTTTGGCAACTGTCCGCAGCTTCTCTTCATTCCGACTCATCAGAATAATGTTGAGACCTCGGCTCGCTAACTCTTCGGCATAGGCTTTTCCAATCCCATCTGTTGCACCTACAATGCAAGCCAGGAAAGAGGAAGAGGCTCTTCAGAGTCTTCTGCAATGAATCTCAACTACCCCACTGCCAGGTTTAATTAGAGAGAAAGTCACACTAAAAATATAGAGAGTTCTAGTGTCTGCCCATCAAGGCCAAAGCTGATTCCACAAAGTGAATGATCTGTGGGGACTGCTCTCCAGGCACCTGACAGACAGGCAAGGCGTGTGGCACTTCACACTCCCGCCACACTGAGAAACACGGCAGGACTTGTTTCCAAACGCCCATCTGGCTTGTATAGGTGCCAGAAGAGACTTTTCTGGGACACAATAAATTAAAATAAAATTTAAAATAGGTGAAGTATTTCTGAAAGTGGTGACCATCTCTAAGGACAGAATGGAAACAGCAAAAAAGAAAAAGAGAGAGAGAGAAAGCCGAGCTGGAGCAGGCCTTGGATGGGGGGTGGGGTGGGACACAAGAAAAATATGAATCACACAAGGCCAGGTCCTCTGTGAGAGGGGAGGTAAAAGACATAAACTGCCAGGCACAGGAGGATGAGGCAGAAGGAGTCCAACTTCAAAGCCCACCTCAGCAACTCAGTAAGGCCTGAAACAACTTAGTGAGACCCTGTCTCAAAATTAAAAATAAAAAGGGCTGGGGGTGTGACTCACTGGTAAAGCACCCCTGGGCTTACTCCCCAGTATCCCAAAAAAGATTTAAAAAAAAGACGTGAACATAATCATATCAGGAATCCTAAATGTTCTTATAGCATGGTCCCATGAAATCACTAAATTCAATAGCCCCTGAAGTAAAGTGGCTGACTTAAAAGACCCTAAACAGAAAAGACTGTTAGGTTTTAAATCAGTTACCACTGACGACGGCCCATCTTCCGTACTGCTTGGTGAGGTCTGCCCTGCTCCCCAGGCGAGGGATGAAGTGCAGCCTGATCAGACTGTAGAAGTCACAGATGACGGTGATGCTTTTCCTGGCCGTGTACCAGGCTCCAACCAAAGCCAGCGCTTCCATATAGCAATTGCAAGACCTGGCAATTTCCCTGTACAAGAGGTAGAAGCTGTCAACGGCAGCCATGGCGACCTGCAGGGATAGAGAGAGGGGTTCTCAGCTGATGAAGGTAAAGAACAGCAACACCCACATGCAGACAGACCTGAGCAGCTGCCAGATCCTGACAACTCTCACTTGAGTAACAGCAGCTTCCCAAAATGCGCAGCCAAGGACCCAGCCAATTAACGAGCTCATTATTTAACATTTATGGCTTATGAAGATCTCTTCTTCCAAGGAAGTTAATCTAAATACTACCATAAGATACCAAGTTTCTCCTAAAATCAGATCCATTCTTGAGGATGGAGATAAAAATACCGTATGCTGTGCCTTAAAAAGATTCCTAGCCTAATGTAATAAAAGGCACAGACTTAAATTCCCCCGACAGGCAGGAGGTGTGTTTATCTCCTTGCTCCAGTCAGTCAGCAAGTGCAGAGGCCCTGCTACCCAGAGACAAAGTAGAAAAAACAAAGGTGGTGTCAGGACCTGGCCTCGGCCTCCAGGGGCCTACAATCCTCTAGAGACAAACAAGCTTTCATAAACTCTGAAAGAAAACAGAAATCATATTAAAATCAAAGGGACACCTCCCAAACTTGAGGCAACAGCCTTGACATGGCAGCAGAGTAAGATCTCCTCCAGCTTACTAACTTGATTGATACGGTGACATCGGCGTGGCCCTTAGGCTGGAGAGAAGTCCAACACAACCCCCTCACATGTGCACAGAACAGGCGTTTCTGCGCACCGTGACAGAGGCTGAGGACTCAAAGACAAACCGAGTAACAGTACCTCTGTGAAGAGGCAATGTTCAACAGGGCCTTTGTACTGCTGTAGAATCTGGTACGTGTGCCTGCATCAGAAGACTCCACAGAGGCGGAGGGAGGGCAGACACGAGGGCCGGCACCACGACCACAGGAGCTGAACTCCTCCAGGTCTACACCACAGGAGCCACCGCAGTCTGGCCCACTGTGCACTATTCATGAGGGACAGAACATCAAAATGACCTGAACTGAAAAGAAATCACAGGTAAAATGAAATCACAAATCTGGGAGCAGAGGCGCACTCGTGCCATCCCAGCTACTAGGAAGGCTGAGGCAGGAGTTGCTCAAGGCCAGCCTGGGCAACTTAGCCAGGCCCGTCTCAAAATTTAAAAATCAAAGGAGAGGCTGTGGATGTAGCTCAATGGCAGACCAGTCCTGGATTCAATCCCCAGTACCAAGAAACAAAAATTTAAAAAATTAAATTACAGGTAGCTCATATGTACACAAACATTAAGATTCCTCCAACAGCAGGTGGACATACCTCTGCGATGTTAAAACAAGGTTTCCCACAGGCACAGTGGCACACGCCTGGCATCCCAGCAGCTTGGGAGGCTGAAGCAGGAGGATCTCGAGTTCAAAGCCAGCCTCGGCAACTTAGCAAGGCACTTAACAACTCAGTGAGACCCTGTCACTAAATAAAATATTTTAAAAGGGCTGGGGATGTGCCTTGGTGGTTAAACACTCCAGGGTTCAATCCCCAGTACCAAAAAAAAATAAAGTTTTCAATGAGAAAACAAATGCCATATTATACCAAGATGGACAGGCTGCAGTCAAAGCCACTCGGGAAATCACTTGCACTAAGGGTGTGTAGAGACATTTTGGGGAAGAAAGGGGAGGGGGGCCTCTGAGGGCCTCGGGCTAAAGCTGCTCAAGGACTGGAACATCAGTGAGGCAGTCTCCAGCAGCAGATGTTCCAGCGGTTTCCTGAGGTTTCTGTGCTAGCTGAAATGACCCCTGGTCTCCTCTCTGCTTGTTTTAGGCTTCCGGTGGATATGCAGCTGTACTCTTAAGACAAAAACCCAGAAGAAACCAACGCCTTTCTTTTGCCCTTGTAGCTCTGCTGGCAATATTTTTGTATAAAGTGAACGTTAAAGTTTTCAAAAATTAAGAAAACACAAAAATTCCCATGCCATGAGTAGGCAGCAGAATATTTGCAAACTGCCTTGTCTCAGAGTAAGAGCCGAGGTCTGCCTGGGGACAGTAGACCCTCGTGCCCAGCAGGAGCAAGCTCTCCTGGACCTGCACCTTTTTTTCTCATGTGATGGAACGAAAACCCATCCAAAATTAGCTTGGACAAAGGTGGAAGTCTACCTGGTATGATGGCACACGCCTGTAATCCCAGCAACTGGAAGACTGAGTCAGGAGGATCCCAAGTTCAAAGACAGACTTGGCAAATTAGCAAGACCTTGTCTAAACTAAATAAAAAGGGCTGCAAACATAGCTCAATGGTACAGAGTCCCTGGGTTTGATCCCCAGTATCACAGAGAAAGACGAAGAGAAATTGAAGGGTTGGGGAGACAGGGAGGGAGGGACTGAAGGAGGGAGGAAGAAGGGGGAGGGAAGGAAGGAAGGAAGGAGAGGGAAAAGGAAGGGAGGAAGGACAGAATCATATCAGGAAACCTCAGGGGAGGGGAAGGGAGGGGAGGGGAGGGGGAATGAATGAATGACTCATACCAGGAAACCTCAGAGTCAGAGCCAAGAAGGGAGGGAGGGAGGGAGGGAGGAAGGAATCATATCAGGAAACCTCAGGGACAGCGCCCAGGCAGCCAGCCAGCTGCCTGGGACAGGCAGAGAGCTGCTTCAGTCACCTGTCTCTCCCTGCCGGCAGCCTGGGTTTCACCAGCCCCCTCGTTGCGCACCATTCTCTCAGTTCCTGTAGCTTCCATCTGAACCTCTACATGACCGCGACCCACCTGGCATCCCTACTCCAAACTCCTGGTTGGCCCACCTGAGCTCAGGTATCTAACACCTGCCTAATCCCCTGGCAGGCATGGCGGTGAACAAAAGTGGCAGCAGCCGAGGCAGCTTGGTGTCGTGAGGGGTGGGAGCTCTGGGAAGGAGGAAGCAAAAGGAATCTCTGAAAGCTGTCCCTTGCCCTGTGCCACATGTGCTGTCCTAGGACTGCTGGGTCTGTGCCACCCCAGTAGCCTGTGCTCCTGAAAGGCAGAGGCCAAATCTTACTCTGTGCCACTCCAGCACCTCCAATCCCTGGTAGAACAGCTCAACCGACAAGTGCTGGATTAGACGAGGCTCTTCCTGCCAGTCTCCACAGGGCCTGCAGAGGAGCTCATGCGGGGAAGCCTACATGGTGAACAGCACTCAACAGCGTGGGAGAAGCCCCCGAGAGCCAGGGATGAGGACACTGTAGGAATGAACCAGGATCCCTTGCTGCCCTGGCACGTGGAACCCACAGAAGGATAAACTGAGCACCTGCACAGCCCAGCAGCAGGGCACTGTGGAGGAAGGAGGGGAGCCAGGAGGAGGAGATCCCTGGGCAGAGGCTAAGGAGACCAGAGGCCAGGCCCCCAGAGAGGGCAGCACTGAAAGGTCTGGCTGCTTTTCGGGAGGTGGAGTCCTACGTGCCTGCAGCTTAGGGCTGCAGAGAGCACAGAGGCACTGGAAGGCTTTCTGGTCAGGTGGCTGGACTTAGCTGGGGCACTGACGGAGGTGCCAAGCAGTCCAATTTGGGAAGGTGATAGGCAGCTGCAAGGCGGCTGGAGGGGATGTGCCACGCCCTGGTGCTGCAGGTGGGAAACAGGAAATTACCAAGTCCCTCCATCCCTCCAGTTCTTTCCCACCCTACACACATGATGGAAAGTTACCTTTATAATGAAAGAAAAATCAGTATCTCCCCAGAGCCATTAAATCCCAAAACCTCACAATTTTACAGTGTATTACACAGTCAAGTCTAGAAGCTTACCCACCAACAGACACTGAGCTGCACAGACCCATGTTCTGCAATAAAGGTATCAGTCTGTGCTTTGGTCTTCATGTTTGTGTCCATCAGCCCCTGTTCCTGGGGTAGGCCCTAACGCCCCAGGGGTTAGGGAGCAAGGTCTCAGGAAGGCAGCTGGTCATGAGGACCCCACTGTGTGAGGACAAACACAGAAGGCACCACCATCTCAGAGAACTGGCCTCACCAGACACCTGACCTGCCAGCACCTTGATCTTGAGCTTCACAGCCTGCAGAGCTGTGAGAAATGTTGACAGGCCACCCAATTATGTTACAGCAGCCTAATGGGGTCTGTAACTTAGAGAAGCCCATTTGGAAAACAACACTAAAAACTCAGTAAAATCCTGAATCCTATACAATCCACTTGCAAGAAGTTGTTATAAAGCTTTGTTTTCTTAACAGAGTAGAATGAAGGATCAAAGAGGCTAGGGGTGGGGACACTGGAAAAATTTGGCCCCAGGATACAAACTTTCCACTATGAGTAAGTTCTGGAAACCTACTGCACAGCACAGTGACCAGTTAATACTACACTGTATACCTGAAACATGCCAGAGGGTAGATCTTCAGTGTTTCCAACACACACACACACACACACACACACACACACACACACACACGTAACTCTGAGCTGATGGATGCCAATAAGTTGGTGCTGGTGGTCACTCACCAGCCTAAACGTACATATTCTGATGGTCCAGCTGTAAGCCCTGATGTAGGCAATGGAACTATGTTAGAGGTGGGAAAAAATAAACTGGGAGAGGATGCTAAAAACTTTGTGTTCTTTTCTCTGCAGAAAACTAAAATAGCAGTGGTCACAGCAAAACCAGAACTGTCCCCAAACCTGGGAAAAAGACCATCTTCTCCTTTTTCAGCACAACATCCATCAGGGCTGGAGTCAACAAAAACCTAAAGGACACAAGACAAGTTCCAAAGTGACATAGAAAATTATGATGGAACTGCAGAGAGCAAAGTCACCTCCTCAAGGTGCCACTGCTGCGGCTGTAACGTTACCCTGGCCACAGCTCTGCTGCCCGGATGCAGTAGCGTGAAGGGCAATGAAATAACACAGAAAACCTCCAAGAATCAGGAGTTTGGGGAAGTCTTGACTGAAACACAGTTGTCACCAAGTTGTTCGCACAAACGGGACTGGGTGGAAGGCAAAACACTAAACAGACCAGTCAAGATGTTTTTCAAGAAAATACAGTACGATGGGAAAAACCAAACAGAGCAACACGGAATGACAGAGTGCAGTCAGGAATAACTGCCGCCAGAGGCATCCACACCTTCATCCCCACACCTGGCAAATATGCACCTTAGCTGGCAAAAGGGACTTGGTGGGTGTGACAAAGGACCTGGGATGAGAAAATCCCCCTGGATCACCCAAGTGGGCCCAGCATAATCGTATGCGTCCTTGTAAGACAGAGTGCAGAGATCCAAGACAGAGAAAGTGACGTGACCTCAGAAGAGAGCTCAGAGCATGATTTGACAGGCTCCCCTTCTAGACTAGGAGACGGAGAGCACTGCACTGGTCAAGGACTGCGGGCAGCCTCCTGAAATGGGCAGAGCTTGGAAAGAGCCACCCCTGCTGACACCTTGGTTTCAGCACTTGAGGACTGCAGATTTCTTCTGACCTCCAGAACTGTGTGGTCATCAATCTGTGTTAAGTTGCCTCTTTCACGAAGAGCTGTCACTGCGGGACGTGAGGGCAAAGGGATGGATGAAGGGGGATGGACAGAAGCCCTCAGCCTGGCTTCTGGGGCAGTAGAGCAGGTTAAAAATCCTGCTCATCCCTTAAGACACCACATGGAGCACATCAGGAACCATTCTCTTCAGAGATTCCTGCACCTTCAAATGACAGCCGCTCTGCCTGCAGCCACAATGGACATGTGAAGGACGTGGGAATGACGGGGCACGCCTGAGGCCTCCTCCGCCTGCAGGCCCTTCCACAACCTGCTGAGTCCCCTCCTTCATGCTGTTTCAGTCCAGGCCACAGCGATGACAAGCACCAGCCCAGCACCAAGCCCCTCTCAGCTCTGGACAACAGCCTCCAGGGGCCTCTCAGCGCCCCCTGCCTCCACCCTGCTGCTAGTTAACCACCTCACTGGTTTCCATCTGGGTTCTCCAACCAGAGCTCAGGCCTCCCAAGGGCAGGAGCTGCATCTAAGACCTATTTTCCAGTAATTTATAATTTTTTTGAAAAGTACATCCAAGTGTGTAAAACCTATTATGCACGGGTCAAAGAAAAATAAAATGAAATGCCCACTCAGCCAGCAGCCTATAACAAAGCCAGCAGCCAAGAGCCGGGGTGGCCTCCTTCCTGACCACTCTGCAGAGGAGCCACTCGTGAATTCTGGGTCATCATTTCTGCTAACAGTTGCACAACCACACACCCATTCTCAAACAACGAAACTGTAAACTGCCTGGTTTGAGCTTCACGTGAAGGAACCCCACATGACTGCAGAGGCTTTCATCTCTCATGCAAGGACGTCTGGAGCCACATCCTACCTGCACCTGGGGATCACACCTTCACTGTCCAGTAGAAACACAACCATGACTCACACGTCCACTCTGCTGCTGAGGGCATGTGGGTTTTTCTGCTGGTCTGTGAACAGTGTTGCAATGAACATTCCTGGGCACCTGAGCAAGAGTTCTCAAAGGGACACGCCTCACGGTTGAACTGCTGGGACAGAGGCAGCAAGTGTGCATCTACACACTGCTAACGGCCTTTCCAAAGAGACGAATACGCATCACCAGCAGTGGGTGCAAGTCCACGTGACCTCCTCCGAGCCGCTGGTGGGAATGCCCACAGAGCACTCTCGTCTATACGGCAGCGTTTACTAGTATCTCCTTTTTACATTTCTCTGATTACTAATAGGGTTCAAATTTATGTGCTATTTTTTTTTCCTAATCTGTGAAATGCCTGTTCCATCTTCTACCCTTTTTTCTGCTGTGCTGCCTTCTTTTCTCTATAAAATTTATAAAATCTATAAAAATTACTCACCGGATTCTTAAAGTTCTCTGTACAGTGTTGTCTTTGTAATGCTTCTGATAAATTATCTTAATCTGTAATGTAAACAAATGTATCTTTTTCCTTTATGATTTGTGTTCATCCTGTTTTATTTCAGAAAGTCCACCTTAGCCCAAGGTCATAAAGACATTTGCTCATACTATTTTCTAAGTTTTACAGTTCTGCTTTTCAGATTTAAGTCTTGAAGCCTCCAGGAGCTTTGTAACAGTGTGACACTGAGATCTCATACATCTTTAATGTCATCCCACAGCACCTGACACACTGCTATGTATACAATATTTATTTAATAAATAGACTCAAACACTGCCTTGTGTTCAAAGCTCAAATTTCACTCTTTAGGAGGGAAAAAAAATTAAGCATCTCAAAATTTATATCAGCAATTTGACAAGGACATTATTGGTATATTAGGATTTGCTGGAATTTCCTTAATTTCTGTTGCCCCTTGTTGATACTCAACTAAACCAAAAGTGAGTCTGATTGGAAAGAGCAGCAACCCACAAAGTAGAAAACTAGAATTCTTATTGACGATCCAATACACCTGACTTTTGTGTATATTTGTGCTACAAGAATTAAAATAGCCACACCTCACTCCTAAGCATGTACCCATGACAAATTTAAAAATTCTGCTCACATTATGTACACCTGTGCTCACAGCAGTCTTGCTCACAATAGCCAGAAGGTACAGCATCCATGGATGTACAAACGAACATGGCCTACCCATACAAAGAAATGCTCTTCAGCCATAAAAACAATGCAGTACTGACACATGCCACAACATGCAGGGCCTTGAAAACACAATGCCAACAGGCAGACGCCAGACACAAAAGGCTACATCTCATATGATCCCATTTGTATGAAATGCTCCCAGTAGGAAAATCCATGGAGACAAAAGTTGCATCATGGATGGTAAGCAAGAAGTGGGGCAAGGGGAGTGGCTGGCGTTGGAGCTGGGGTTTATCAGGGTGGGTGATGGAAGTGTTGTGAAGTATCGTGAATTTCAAAAAACTTATACAGCTATACACTTAAGAGGACTAAAGTGGTAAACTTTGTTATGAATTTTCTTAGTTTTTTTTTTTTATTTTCTTAAAAAAAAAAACAAAAAACCATCACCAATCTGTTGAACCTAATGCCCCTGGGATACTCCTATAGGGATTAAAACCAGACTGAATTGAGACTGCCTGGGCTGGAATCCACAGAGCTACGTGTTGGGCTCAAGCTACACCACCATGGTGCTTTCTCAGCCATCTGCAAAAACGCGGATGGCCAACCTGGCCCCCGGTAAAGCCCAGCTATTCCGGACCCTGAAGCAGGATGGCCAGCTTCAGGCCAACCTCTGCAATTCAGGGAGACCCTGTGTCAAAACTTATTTTAAACTGGGCTGGGGTGCAGCAGAACATCTGCCTAGCACGTGCGACACCCTGGTTCAACCCCCAGCACGGCAAATTTAAAAGATAATTTTAAAAAGGGGGTGGCGATAAGAATTCCTAAGACTATGTTGAGAACTAAATGAGGTAACCTATAAAAGGCGCGTAGAAGGGCGCCCGTCCCCCGGGCTCGGTGCCCCTCGCCACCAGCCAGCACTGGCCTCTATTCCAGGCTGATGCCGCGCCGGCTGCCGGGGAGCTGACT